GTAATGACATTTTTTACAAAACTATATATAGTTTACAAAACTATAAGTTTTGTAAAAAATGTTATCAATTTTGTACTATATTATTATTATTATAATACTACAACTGTTAATATATTATTACTTGATATATTACGTAATACTTCTAATAACTGTGAATTAGTAGGTTCAACAATTTTGACTCTACACTTTCAGGCTTTTGTAAAATTTGTTGACCCGACATTCCATTATCCGAATCAATGGATGGACCAGCTTAAAAAAATATGCAATATAAGTTAGTTGAAAATTGTCTTGTACACCGTAAAAAGTACCGATTGAAACCGCCTACATTATTTAAGGCTGATAATCTTGTAACTTGCGTTGAACGATATGAAAAATGTATTAAATATATTACTGTACTTTCTCACATACAGTATTATATTATCTTTATATGCAACACGTGATTTAATATCGTTGAACGTGAGTTTCAATTTTACGATCTTATAATTAATACGAATGCGAGGGAAGCTAACAATTACAAACGATGTAACGCGAAAATTTAACGCTCTCGATAATAATTCTCCTTTGGTACTTTTTACGTGTGTAATAATTCGATGAAACGTAGCATTATTTTCATGCAAGTTTTAGCAATATTTTCAAATCAAAATAATTTATCACTACATATTTATGGACTACTTACATTCTATAGTACTTGCGAGACTTCTTTTATCAGACGCCGTAAGTAATTTATTGTACGATGAATTAACACCTGATGATTTGTGTCTTGGCAATTCCATTTCGATCTCACCTGAAGTAATGCTGTTATCATCAGAATGTTCGCGTGAGTTATACTCATCACTATCATCATGATCAATACTAAAGTCAATTTGATCACATTGCGTCTTACTTTCTCTTGTCATATTGTTTACGTTAAGTGTAGGTGGTACGTATGAGTTTTTCTGATTTACATCTTCATCACTTTTATCCGTATCTTTGAAAGATTTTGATGCAGATGTTTTATCGACCTTACTTTTTTTTGTCAATGGTTCTTGTACATAATCTTTCATAGATTTACTCTTTCTTTTAGCTCTACTTGTTTTTAATTTCATTGCATCATTTGCATTACTTAACTCAGAAATACCATCAATATTCAAGAATTCAGTAGCTTCTATCCCAGTGAACCAAGTAATATAGCAGCAATGTAATGGCAATGTAACCAAATATAACAGGTTATATTACCAAAATGTTACATGTAATTTACATGTAAGTTACTTTTTCCGATTCAGCAATATAACATGTTATATAACGTGTTATCTAACCATTACATAACAATTAATGTAACGGTAATATAACAAATATGATAGCTGTTATATTAATGCAATATAATAGTAGCTATATTTGTAATGTTACAGTTATATTGAGATAATGAGCCTGTTACGAAAGTTGAATAAAAATAGATGGATTCAAAATTCTTATTTATTCATAAAATGTTTGTATTACACCAAACAAAATAATTATGTGTATCAAATTAAAATGTAACAAACTTAAAACATTAGAAATATATCTTTTATATTAGGAACACATATATATCTTATATATCTTATCAATCTATTTAATATATGTCTTTTACATTTTCTGCAAATTGTCTATCGACTAGATGCTAATAGATACTAAAATCGACTAGATACCGAGTGATGATGGCTGTGATAAAATAATACGTGGGTTCTTGCAATGTCGCTATCACAGTTTTACATATATATAATTAATACATCCCACCTCATCTTTATTACGCTACATTATATGTATGTTTCTATATTATTATTATTTGTATATAGTGTCACGCATCACTCGTTAAAGATGGCAATTGCAGACTTTTTTATTCCGTTGTATAGTGAATTTCTTTATATAATAACCTAGATATACTATATATAATAATAAACGTTCATATGAATAAAAAAAAGAAAAATATGAAAAAGAGTTTTTGACAAAAGACACAAAGGCATTTTTTCACGGTATATGACAGTAGCAAGTGTCTTTATATTATCTTTAACCTTGTTAAGAGTTTGCTTCATTCTCTCTTGTCTCATCCGTTGTCTTTCTTCTTTCTGCTCTTTTCTTCTCTTTTTCCATTGTTCGAATTCGTCGTTGTTTAGCAAACCGGAACCATTCTGCGACGATCTCTTCGAATTCAATTTCTTTTGTTGCCGGATATGTATGTAAAATAGCATCTGTGAACAAATTAATATAATTAATGATGTAAAAATGTAAACACAATGTGAAACAAAAACTAGATAATAAATTAAAGTAAATTTAGATTTATTAGGGTTGATGGGGTTAACTTCTAACAGTAGAGTTTTTATGATAAACAATTGAATAAAGTGAAAAGTAATCAATTATTTTGCATTTTGTTTCATTCTATTTTATTTACGTTTAGATAATAAGATTAGCATAAATTAGCATAAATTTTTGGGTTTTTTTAAAAAACCGATCATATTTGCAAGTCTAAATACCATACAGCTCTTATATTTTGCTCTTATACCGAGTAAAAAATGTTAAAAATTAGATTTAAAATATAACTTTTGTGAAGGTATATTTATACACTTTCTGTAACAAAAATTTGAAGAAATTCAACAACAATTTGACATTTTTGGCAAAAATTAAAATTCTTTACAATATTACCACGGAACGAATAATTGCTATAAAATATGTAATCTTTTCAAATAGTATTGCAAGAAATCATGAAGACAATTATATATAAAAAAGTTATTTTTTCGATTCGATATCGACAACGATGATTGAGAACACTTATTCCTAACTATTATATATAATTATTATATACATTATTGAATTGTCTGTTTGCAGCAAGAACATTATTCAATGTTTCTGCCAAAAAACGGACAATAAAAAAAGGTAACTGTATTCTCAAACAACGTAAAAATGGTATTTTTTGGTACTAAAATTTCGGATATTATATTACCTCATTATTTTTATAATATATAGATCTTCAATGCAAAAGTTTCCCTTCCGTCCTTTCCATGAACATAACTCTGCACAGGAATTTGTGAAGATCTTTGTGCAAATTCTTTGGGTGTCCTCACGCGCTGTATGACCTCCAATTTTCTGTACAAATGTATTCTGCAATAGAAATATTACTATATTTGCAACAAATTGAATAAAATTTGACCTTTTTTGTGATAAATAATTAACTTACAAATTGTTGTTTTATTTCCGGATTTTCATGGATTTTTTTCTCAAAGACTTCAATCTCCGCGATCGATTTTAATGGCAGAAGAGACGCTATGAGGCCAACATTTCCTGAAAACATAGGTTTTCCGTGTTCGACTTTCTGGTGAAGCTCCCGTAGTTGTACTTGAATCGATGCGAGCATCCGAATAATTATTCTTGAATATTCTACATCAGAATAAATGACAGACAATATTTAGTATCGAAAGTAATCAGATGTTCTTTGTAAATGTCCAATAAGTCCAGTCAGTTTCACCTTCCTGATTACGATCCACCACTTCCATGCCATCAAAGGCTTTTCTAGTAAGCGTTGAAACTTCAGAAAAATTTTCTTTTTTGAGAGTTTCTGACATCGCAACCGGACTCGGAATCGTCATGTATGGGTCATCCACGTTTTCTGCTTCCTCGTCTATGTCACGTTGGTCTTCGTCTATAACACAACACAAGATATCATTAGGGTCTGATCAGAACGGCTGATTTATAATTTCAAGACCGTGTTTTATATTTTAAGTCTTTGGCCCGTATTCATAGCCCGTTCTTATATTTAAGATGATCTTAAGATCTCGTTCAACCAATCAAGAAATGCTATGCGGCCATTTGATTGGTTAAACGAGGTCTTAAGACGATCTTATAAATATAAGAACCGACTATGAATACGGGCCTTTGTCTTTAGTAACGTACAATACTGTCTTTTATCTCAAATCTAAATCGTACGAAGTGTTAATAAAAGTAATAATTTTATTGTATGCATACAGTATTCTAGATTTTTCTTGCGCGTTACTAAAAACAAAAACTCTCAGAACATAAAACATTGTCTTAAAATTATAAGTCAACTATTCAGACTCTTACTTATGATATGTGACTTTGTGAGCTTTTTTGATCCTCTTGCCTCTACGACGTTGTGTGAATTTTGAAAATTTGCAGATTTTGATATCTCGCCAAAGCTGTTCGGAATCGGTGGCAGGTCTGATAATATGTTTCGACCTGAAAATTCAAAGTTAATTTTCGATTGATGTTTCGATTGATGTTTTGTTGTCAGTTGTATATACAATATTCGTTGATGTGTAGTAAAAAAGCCTGTTTACAGACATGATGTAAATCTATTATTGAGATTTCCGCACAAGGATTTTTAAACAGCTTTATCTTAATAGCTCAAGATGGAATGCACAAGAGATATGAGGATTTGAAATTCATAGGGATTTTAAGTTTGATCTAATAACTGTAAATATAAAGTACAAATTACGAAATAGATTTAAACAGGAAAAAATATACTATATAGATTCTCCTAATGGTATTAAAAAAATAAATGACGAAGCATCACAATCTTTAAAAAATTTGTTAAATCAGATTATAAAATAGCTACAATAACTTACGCAGGTCTCGTGGCTTTTTTATCCACTTCGAAGTTTTAGATTGATTTTCATTTTCGACATCATCGGATGAGGAGCTCGATATTCGTCTATTTGGTATGACTCTTCTGTACCCTTTTCCGAGTTGGTCATCATCAGTAGTTATATAATTTGCATCCTCCGCGACCTTTCGAGCCTTTTCAAGAGACGCTGAAATAAAATATTTATTTTAAATAGAAACTAAAAATGTCACAGATGTTCCTTTATTCTATAATAAAGAAATATGCTTACTGCAATATTTTTCGATGGTCACAGGCAAATTATCCCACAACTGTTTATCTGGTTCAGATTTTTTTGCTATTAGCGTACTAATGTTTTTATAATTTGTTGGCCACCAACATGATGGTTCATCGTCATTTGTTTCAAGCCAATTGGATGGTACTTCGGAAACTTCATTGTTATTGAATGTTACGACTGCATATGCCATGTCTATCCAATCGTAAGTGAAAATGAAGTAATTTCAAATAGAACAAGAGGAAATGAGATTGCAGGCAAGGATTTAAAAAATACGAGAAACAATCTTTTTTATTGGATTGAATTTTAGATAATTAATAATTATATTGCAATACAGGAATCACTACACTTGAAGTGGTTTCCTCAGGATTTTGCAATTTTAAACACTTTCTCTGTATTTGTGATGCTAACAACGTAATCCGTTCAGATATAAATCTCGTTAACCAGAGAGATGCCAAATTTTTGAGAATCGCACGGTACTGAAAAAAACGACCTCGTGTTGCTATAATGATTTCCTTTTATGTAAAGAACATTATTGTTGCTAAAAATTTTTGTTACGATAAAAATCGAATCATCATTCAATTGACAACAGTTCTCATAATCCTCTGTTGAGATGAAAAATCCATCGAATTCGAGAAATTTGATCTTTATTGCAGACTTCGAATAGTGTACAACTGGATACGATTTGCGGTATTGAGTTTGAATAGGTACAGCATTTTCTTCTGTTATACGATTAACAATTTGATGTAAAGGTTTTTGCGAATTCTTAACCTGTTTCTTTATTGCCTGCAAACAGTTTTCGAATTTAAACGCACTGAATTGATCTAAGCAGCCAAATCGGGTTACATCAGAAGCAAGGTGCACGAGATTATGTACATTATGCGTAATGTGTTCCGAACCATACAATTCTCCATAATGCGAAACAAACCAACATAATAAAGATTGAGCATAATCATTCATAACTAAACACAGTTTACGATCAGCTAAAATACGGATTGCTAAGCTGAATGAAAGGAAATGATTATACAAATCTTTCCGCAAAATTAATTTCAAAACCACAGGACTAGTGTAAAGAAGAAACTGACGAAACTCAGTGGCCTTTCATCTATTGATATCGTTAAAACTTCTCGGTTTTCTGCTAAATTCTTTAGTTATGAAGCATTTCATTGACTCTATATTTTCTGACGCAGCCTGCAGTTGTTCGTTCGTAAGTCGAACAGTTTTTGGGCCTTTAACCCAGAATTGAAGAAGACGTTTGGTAACTCCTAAGCATACAAGATGCATATAGTCTAAAACAACTTGAGAAATCATACCTATATTTAAATCTAATAAATCTGAGTAACCCACATGATGTTCAGGCTGTTGTTGATGTTGAAAAGAATAATCAGTTATTAATTCGCTATTTATTTCAGGGAAAGTAATGCGATGGCCCAATGCATCTCCTTCTTGAATACATTTAGAACATCCAAAGTATCCATTGTGACCTTTCGTATAAGTAAGAAACGACTTTGCAGGTGCATCGCAAACAAGTGCCTTGACACTTACACAACACTTATGATCATCAACATCAAGGCCGTTTCTAAGAATTTCAGTCATGTCAATGATAAATTCTTTCAGATAAATATTAGCATCAGCAGGTTTCTTGTTACCATAATATATGCCAACAACGATAGGCTGAGTGTAGAAATCAGTTTCGATTGATATTAAAATTGGCCAAAATTGAGCTCGCGAACTTTTGAACAAAGGTAAACCGTCACAATTTATACTTATTTCTATCTTATAGAGGATAACTTGAAAGTACTTTGCAATCGAACGTTTCAGTCCATCTGTTACTCCGAAATGCACGTAATAGCCATCATTCATTGGTTGAATTTTATACGACGTATTTTGAGGTGTTTTCATAAGAGTTCGAACATCTATTGGTAAATCAGAATGACCATGCAAAGAAAGAATTTTTAATAATGCATTCACGCTTCTGTGTGACACGTTATTTTGTACAGTCCAACAGCGCAATTTGATAAACTTATCCTAAAAAAATCATAAAAATGAAAAGGTCAGGCCATGTTCAAAAGAAGGTACTCAAAAATTTAAACGATCTAATAATAAATTATCACGAAAAGTAACTGATATGTTATTCAAGGTGCCAGTTCAAAGTGAACATAGTAATTATTCTGTAAGAGCTTCGACATTATTTCTAAATGGACATCGAGAAACATCATAGTTTTTTGAGAGCAGGCCGCCATGTTATTTTTCTGAGTCATTAACAAATTGGTACTCTGGAATTACGAGCAATTATTTTTCATTGTACGGGCTAGTATGAATTTCAAATCAAATCTCTATAAACGACTATTATATTTTGTGCACTAAGAATAACATATCGCACTTATTTTCTAGAATCAAATTGTAATCAGTTTTACTTATATGTATGTATATTCAATGTGAACTTGCACCTTGAATAAAATATCACAGTTACTTTTCATGGTAATATATTATTACTAAATTTAGATAATATACACTTTACGTATGTTCACTTTGAACTGGCACCTTGAATAACATATCAGTTACTTTTCGTGATAATTTATTATTAGATCGTTTAAATTTTTGAGTACCTTCTTTTGAACATGGCCTGACCTTTTCATTTTTATGATTTTTTTAGGATATCACTTACTTTTTAAAGTACAGATATATAGAGCAGCTTTCTAGTAATTCAAGTATCACATATGTATTTTCGATTCTTATCACATAACTTTGTATAAGTAACAATTTATGCAATACAGTTCAAAATAATTGAAATATATGGTATATATGTACATATATAAAATATATAATTATATTATAGTATACATATATATTTTATTTAATCATATATGTAAATGTTTGTATAATTGTAATAACTTTTAACGATACATTGCACATTTATTTCAATTGCAACAGAATGAATTTATATTTTTGTATGAATATTGAAAATAAAGAATGGGCCCCTCCATCGCCCATTCTCGTGAGAACGCAACCATATATTTTTCTTCGTCTCTCCGATTTTAACACGACATACATATTTCTGTCTGATAATTTTTTTCTGGATGATACTTTTTGAAATGTCATGAAACCTAGGTCAAATTAGAAACTTATTGCACTCGTTTTAATGCAGCGCTTACAGCAGCTTTTATAAAGCGCCAGAGCAGCCGATATTTTATTTTGGCGCTTACGGCAACTTTTATACAGCGCTAGAACAGTTGATGTTTTAATGTAGCGTTTACGGCAGCCTTTATACAGCGCCATTATTTAATCTGTTCTAAGAACAATATGTATGCCCCTTGTGCTCCTTTGGGCCATTTTTTCTTGAACACTTCCATATCATTAGAGTAATACCATTCCGATTTTGTGTCAACTCTCAACATACACGTGTAGTGACCACGATTCATTTCTTCACCTTCGTGAAATATAGCGCTTATTAGCTTGTACTTTTTTTAACGAATATTAATCGTGATATTACTCGTCGGCACGGCGGTAATCCGATTGTTGATAATTTTTTTAGAAGCACCGTTTACAAAAGTATATAAATTGAGCTGTATTACTACGACGAATAAAGTTGATTCGATTACGGTTTTCTTTTTCAACACGGTGCCCTTACATTCGTTACAATTGCCGTTTATCGTTTCCCATTTAGAAAATTCTACATTAATCAAACTTTGTAGAGTGACACCTTTTTTCCTTTTTAATGTCGAATGTATAGGTAATATTAACAAACTACTGCTTTCCAGCTTAGTTACATTGTAATTACATTTGACATTCGAGCAACATGTTACGTGCTTTAATTCGAGTTTCAATACATCATTGATGTCGGAATACGTCGACATTAGAGCCGTAAAAAATTCCGAAACATCTTGTTGTGTTCGTTCTTCGAAGCGTTTTCCGACAGATCTTCTAACCGCTTGAATGTTGCAATATTTACGTTCACCATACGCGCAGATAGCATCAGTCAATGCATTCGATGCTTTATTTTTCAGTATTTGTTGCCTAATACGTACGCAATGAAACGCACATTGTAATATTACATTAGCGTAACACGAAACAGCATCGTTATTGCAAAGGCCATATATTTTCCACGTAACTATACTTTCTGGTTCCTCACAATCATAATTCTGCACATCATCAATGATATTAGGGATAGCCCATCGACGATCGTACATTTTCACAACCTTTTTCTCGGACGGATTGATTTGTGGCAGTTCAGATTTGAATATAGATCTCAGTCGATTATATTCTACAATGGCTCTCGAGTTTGCTTTAACTGATGCTGGATTGAAATTTATCAAATGTAGGCCTTCCAATTTACTTACTCGTGACAAACCTACATAGGCTTGACCATCACTGAATACATTCGTTCCTAAATCCATCATTGCATTGTTACATGTAATTCCTTCGATTATAAATAATTCGACATTCTTTAATTTGTCTCTCAAAGTTTTCAAGACCATGTCTGACAATTGCGTATATTTTGGTGTAGATTCATGACTAACCGGTAGTTGAAACATTCTATGGATTGTCAAGCCATCGATATTGAATGCTGCGATACCCGTGGGAGCAGATATGGCAGTCGTTTTTTCCAAATTTATTCTGATCCAATGTTTAATCGTTTCAATTAGAAAACTTTTCCCTGTACCACCCTCGCCACTTACGTACAGTCGCAGAATCTGATTCTTATCTTGTAAAACTTGGCATACTCCATCAAAGACTCTTTTCTGGTCTTTGTTCAATTGCGACATCATTTGCGATAAATCAATCGGGTCGTCAATCTTACCAAAATCTTCCAGATCTTTCATCGCGTCGTCAGCTTCTATCGGATTACAATCCAGTTCATCGTCATCGGATTTGTCTCTGTCTGCTGTTTTCAGATCATTTTCGCGCTTCTCGATTAATTCAGCAACGTTCTCAAAAGCTTTCTGTATTTCTTCGAGCCTTTCGTGATATTTCATTGCCTCCGTTAAAACAGACTCTGAATTCTTAAAGGCATCCGTGTAAGTCTCGAATGTACCTTTGAGTTCACTCAAATCTCTCCATGGTTTGAACAGAAGAAGCAGCGAGTAAAAGTATTTTTCGGGCTCAGTTTTTATATTAAATCGATAATGGTTAATTAAATAACCCTTTTTTCGTTTTTTTTAAAATAAACCCGATGCCAGTTTGTAACACTTGAC